TTCAAGCCAAAATTCTCGATACCCTTTCTCTTATACACATCTAGATGTGTATAAGAGACAGATGTTACACCGTGCCTGACATTTTACCTGTTCATGCTTGATATTCATCTGTCCGTGCTTGATATTTATCTGTACGTGTTTGATATTTTTATCTGTTCATGCTTGATGTTTATCTATCACGTGCTTGATATTTTTATCTGTTCATGCTTGATGTTTATCTGTTCGTGCTTGATGTTTTATCTGTACGTGTTTGATGTTTATCTGTACGTGCTTGATATTTATCTGTACGTGCTTGATGGTTTTATCTGTACGTGCTTGATGGTTTTATCCGACCATGCTTGACATTTTTATCCGTCCGTGCTTTATGTTTTTATCCATCTGTGCTTGATATTTTTGTCCGTCTGTGCTTGATGTTTTTGTCCAACTGTGTTTGATTTAATCCAACTATGCTCACTTTGTCAAAAATTAGTTTCTTTGTCAGCACAGGGTTGATATATTGTTGGTCACATGTTTTAAGTTTAGCGTAGTTTTAAAAAATTTTTTAAAACTACGCTAAACTTAAAACATGTGACCAACAATATATCAACCCTGTGCTGACAAAGAAACTAATTTTTGACAAAGTGAGCATAGTTGGATTAAATCAAACACAGTTGGACAAAAACATCAAGCACAGACGGACAAAAATATCAAGCACAGATGGATAAAAATATAAAGCATGGATGGATAAAAATGTCAAGCATGGTCGGATAAAACCATCAAGCACGTACAGATAAAACCATCAAGCACGTACAGATAAATATCAAGCACGTACAGATAAACATCAAACACGTACAGATAAAACATCAAGCACGTACAGATAAAACATCAAGCATGTACAGATAAACATCAAGCATGAACAGATAAAAATATCAAGCACGTGATAGATAAACATCAAGCATGAACAGATAAAAATATCAAGCATATACAGATAAATATCAAGCACGGGACAGATGAAAATCAAGCATAAACAGGTAAAATGTCAGACACGGAGTGACATTTTGTCAATCCATGCTTGATTTTTCACCCGTCCAATGCCTGATAGTTTAGTCCAGCTCGGCTTGCCATATACATATAGTGCTTTATGATTTGTTGGATAGTACTTTTTGGCCTAAATACAAATAATAAAAGTTATTGTAAATATACTAATTAAAAAGAAAAAGTAACTAAATATTTGAAGAAATTTTATACCTCATTGATTATCAAATCAATGGATTCTTGTGAATTATATAAATATTTTAAAGCAACTACTTCATTTGAATCTCTTACATAACTTTTATCCCATGTATCAAGTTTGATATATAATGGACCATCCTTCCATATTGCCGAATATACTGTTGTTATAAGGTCATTTTTACCTGTTTCTTTAATTTCATTAAACTGATTGTATGGTATCCATTCAAGAACAATATCACCAAAGTTATGCTTTTTAATTGCATTTCTCGAATGAAATCACTAATTTTTTCATTTTCACTATTCCATATATAATTATTTTGAACTAAAATATAATCTCCTGTAACTGGATTTTGTGATATTCCATATAATACTTGATGTTTTGTTGGATATTTTTTAATCTAAATATAATAAAGTATATTATAAGCACATTAATCAAAAAAAAGTATTTAAATATTAAAGAAATTTCATACCTCATTTATTATTGAATTAATGGATTCTTGTGAGTTATGTAAACATTTTAAAGAAACTTCTTTATTTGAATATCTTGTATAGTTTTCACCCGACCAAGAATTCTTCTTTAATGGACCAACTTTCCATATAGCTAAATATATTGTTATAAGGCCATTTGTACCTGTTTCTTTAATTTCATTAAACTGATCATATGGTATCCATTCAAATACAAAATCATTTCTGTTATTGATTTTTAATTGCATTTCCTGAATAAAGTCATCAAATATTTCATTTCCACTGATCCAATTTACCAAGTTTATAGAATTATTTTGAACCAAAATATAATTTCCTGTATCTGGATTTTGAGAAATTCCATACAATAGTTGAAATGCTTCACTATTTGCTGAATATTTTTTAGCCTAAATATAAATAAAGAGATTGTAAATATACTAATTAAAAAAATATGTAAATATTAAAGAAATTAGTAATTCCATACCTCATTTATTAAATAATCACTAGATTCTTGTGATTTATATAAGCATTTTAAAGCAACTATTTTATTTGAATCTCTTACATGCAACCTTTTATCCCATGTATCAATTTTTTTTAATGGACCATCCTCCCATTTTGCTGAATATACAGTTATAAGGCCATTTTTGCATGTTTCTTTAATGTTATTAAACNAATACAATGTTATAAGGCTATTTTTGCATGTTTCTTTAATGTTATTAAACTGATTGTATGGTATCCATTTAAGCATAATATCATGGTCATTAATTTCTAATTGCCTTTCTTTGATGAAATCATCGATTTTTTCATTTCCACTTGTCCAGGTAAGAACCAAAATATAATCTCCTGTATCTGGATTTTGAGAAATTCCATACAATACTTGAAATGCTTCATGTTTTGTTGGATACTTTTTAGCCTAAATGTAAAATAAAAAAGATTGTAAATATATCAATTAAAAAGTGTCCAAATATTTAAGAAATTCCATACCTTATTTATTAAAGAATCAATAGATTCTTGAGAATTATGTGAGCATTTCAAAGCAACTTCTTTATCTGAATCTCTTGTATAATTTCCATATTTTTTATTATGACATAATGGACCATCCTTCCATATTGCCGAATATACTGTTATAGGACCATTTGTGCCTATTACTTTAATTTCATTAAACTGATTGTATGGTATCCATTCAAGCACTTCATCATCATAATTGTTAATTTTGAATTGTCTTTCTTGAATGAAATCATTAATTTTCTCATTTTCACTATCCCAAATATAATTATTTTGAACCAATATATAATCTCCTGTAACTGGATTTTGAGAAATTCCATACAATACTTGTAATGTTTCATGTTTTATTGAATATTTTTTAGCCTAAATATGAATAAAAAAGATTGTAAATTTACTAGTTTTAAAAAAAATTACTTAAATACTTAAAGAAATTTCATACCTCATTTATTAAAGAATCAATATATTTTTGTGAGTTATGTAAGCATTTTAAAGCAACTTTTTTATTTGAATCTCTTAAATCCCATGTATCAGATGTTTTAATATATAATGGACCATCCTTCCATATTGCTGAATAGACTGTTATAGAACCATTTTTGCCTATCTCTTTGATTTCATTAAACTGACTGTATAGTATCCATTCAAATACTACTATTCCATTATTATTATTGATTTTTAATTGCATTCTCCGGACAAAGTTATCAATTTTTTCATTTGCACTGGTCCAACATATAAGATTATTTTCTATATATGTCAGAATGTTTGATGGATTTTTTTTAGAAGATATCATATAAAAGCTCAAAAAAAAAAAATTTATTAATAATATCATATTGTGACCATTATATATATGTAAATGTAAATCACATGTAAGAAATTTGAACACAAAATGATAAGCTTATGTAAGTATTACATAAGCTTAGTAATAATTTTTTTAAAATGACTTGATAACAAACTATATTAAAGCCACAATAATTAGTATTCTCAATACGTTATATGTAAATGTATATTATATGTATAAAATTTTTATTAACAATTTAATAATAAATATTTATATTTGTTGCTGTAAGAACAAAAAAAAATAAATAAAATTAAATATAGTAGGTTTATATTAATATACATAAATAATGTATATAAAGCTTACTTTATAATATTATGATTGATTTCATAAAATTATCTAATTGAATTACATTTGGTTTGAACATTATTAAATTGAAATTTAGTGCAAGAAATTAAAACAAATATTGTTAAAGTTTAACTTAAAATAATATATTCGAATTTTTTATCAGCTTGGTTTATTTATCTTGTAGCATAACTTATTAAAATCTTTATAAAAATGCTAAAAATGAGCGTAAATATAAAAAAAAATATCTTATGATCGCTGTAACTTTGAAAAAAAAATCTCGGTTAAATTAATTTTTGTAATATCCTTTGTTGCGTTTCAACAAAAAATATTTATAACAATTTTTTTTATTTATCTCATTTATAATAAAATCATAAAAAATTTTTCAGAAAAATAATCACGTATCTGAGTTTCTTTGAAATAAAAACTAGAGAAATGATCATTTATCAGAGATTTTCCCAGAATTTTTTTATAGGGATCTAGGAATCAGAACAGATGAACTGAACGTTTTTCTTTTGACTAAAGTTGTCACCTAAAATTATTTTAATATTTATTTAAGCAAAAAGTTCCAATTTGAACTATAAAGTAATACATTAATATTACCTAAGACCAAATTATTAATCCTAAATGTCAAAAGGAAAATTATAAAGATATTAGACTACTAAATATCATGAAGTGCATCTTACGAGTAATTGTGAATGAAATAACAGAGGAAGCTCATGAGCAAACGTAAAGCGATGACAAAAATGAGCAATATTTATTTCTTGATAAAACAAAATTTAAATTTAAATTTTGCATTACGCATGGAAGTATAAACAGATAAAAACGCAAAGTAGTTCTTCTCTTATCACGTGGCGTCAACCATTCTGTCTACCTTTCTAAAATAAAAATATAAAAATAAAAAAATTTCTTTCATAAAAATATTACATAACACAATTAACACATCTTTCAAAAATCCTTACCAATCTATTTAATAAAATTGGTCATCTATTAATTGTCAGTTTTGGATGTAAAATCAAAAATATTTGGTTCAATTATAACCCACTAACAGGTTTCTGTTTGCATAAAACTGCGCCTAATTATTGAAACATGTTACACACAATTAATTGACATGAATTGTGCGATAATATTGCATATAAATTACCCAGTTTCGGTATAATAATAAAATTAGATACCTCCCTCCTTCCCCTTTTTCAGTTACAATATGTCATGTTCAAAAATATTTTCAGGAGATTTACCTGAATTAACTTATGATATTATAAAATATTTACAGAATGATTATTCAACTTTATATTCATGCATTTTAGTAAACAGATTATGGTGTCGTTTAGCGATTCCATTATTATGGGATAATCCATTTTCAATTTGTACCGGAAACTATAATTTTATTGAAATGTATTTACATAATAATTTAAATAATGAATTTATAACGAAATTAAATGAATATAAAATTATTAATAATTCATTATTTACGAATACACTGTTCAATTATCTTAGTTTTTTAAAATATTTGAATACACATAAGTTTATCACTTCTGTTGATAAGTGGTTTGAATCTGTCATTAGGAATAGAAAATTCGAAATTAGAGATCTTTTTAAAGATTTTGATTTGGTATCTAAGTTAATATTTAAAATTTTTATTGAAAATGAAATAAAATTACATACTCTTGAAATTTGGATCCCAAGTACTTATTATATAACATATTTTAATGAAATTCTTGAGTTAATTTTACAAAATCAAAATTTTATTCACAATATTGAAAATTTGAAGCTTTATATCAACTTTTATGATGAAAATATGGTAATTAATAATCATATATTAAAAGTAATTCATTTACATCAAAATCTTAAGAAAATTTTAATAGGTAGTGGTTATGAATCTTTATGTCAATCATTATTATTATCAAAAGATTATAATTGTTCAAATACCTTGAATACAATTACTTTCTATTACGTCGATTTTAGAGTAATAATCAATCTTGATAAAATACTTGAACAATTAAATGTTTTAGAATCTATTCATATTATTAATTGTTCTTTCTTGAATGATAATAGTTTTACTCAACAAATTATTAATTTATCTAAACCATTTAAATTGAAATCTTTAATTTTAAATGAGGTACTACAATTTAAATCATTTCAAAAATTATTACTAAAATCTGGTGATTATTTGGAAAATTTCGGTTTGGAACTTAATTATGGTCTATCATCAAGACAAGCGTTGTTAGGATTAATTATAAAACATTGTAAGAATATCAAATTTCTTGATTTATGTGAATTTGAACATCAGACTACTTAATTAAGATTTTGTTTAATATTTTCAATTAAATCAAATATTTTATATCTTTCAATCAATATATGGAAAGATAATAATTTAACAATTGGTAGTTCAATCATATTAAAAAATCTAGGTCAAGCTCTCCCTTCTAAATTAGAATACCTAAGTTTGATACTTACTGTTAAAGAAAGTGATTTTAAGGCATTCTTAGAAAATTCTCAAGATGTTTTTATTAATAAATTATTAATAAAACTACAAAGAGGTAGTGATAATATTTCACATTATATAAAAGAATATATTATGAAGAGAGAAAGAGTTAAATATTTGGCTATTGAGAGTATTAAAGATAATAATCAATTGTCTGATTTGAGAGATGAAGTGATGGAATTCAATATTAGAGTTCGAAGTTATTATGATTTATTTATTAGCGCTAATAAATTTATTAAGAATATTGATTAGTTATTAAGATGAATAATCATATATAATATTTGTAAATTATTACAACTGATTAATTAAAGTTGTTTTATTCCAAACGTTGTAAGTGATCTACGTACATATTACAAAGCCCCACCCATGAAGTGCAATGCAGATACAAGGATTAAAATAAAATAAATAAATAAATAATAAAACACATTTAATGAATATAACTAAGGATTACTATGTATGGGATGACTTCGCCCCATTTGGTTGCAAATTTTATAATAAAATTCATTAACATGAAATAAGTATGAAATAAATAAAAATTTCATATATTAATTTTTTTTTTATATTTTATTTCATATATTTTATCCCCATATATTTCTTTCATCCCATATTTTTTATTTTATATATTTTTTATCCCATATATTTTTTATTCTATATATTTTATCTCATATTGTTAATTTAATTTTTTTGATCAAATCAGAAAAAAATTAATTAGGGAATTTTCGCGCTCATTCTTTATAACATTTCTACTGTCAAATTCTTATTATAATTTTTGAATTTTTTTTATTAATTTTTTCAAGTAGTCATATTAGTCATTTCAAAAGTCATCAAACATCAACAAAAAAAAATCGGTTTTCTCACGTTCATATCAAAAAATTGTGAATCCAAAATTATGAAATCAAAATTGTGAATCCAAAATTGTGAAACTAAAATAGTGAAACTAAAACCGCTTTAAACCTTTTATTAATATGATTACTTTACAATAAAAAAAGATAAGAATAACGCCCAATTTGCTCAAATATTTGGCTGGCATACCGAAATTAGAAATCTGCTTGGAGCGAAGCGAAGGACTATAACGATAAGATAAAGTATATTATGTAGAACATTTTCAAATTTCAAAAATTTTTTTTTTTAATGAAAGCATGCTCTCCAATAATTTTGTAAATTATAGTTTAAATACTAAATGAATAATAAATAAATATTTATTGTCAGATAAATATCATATTATTGTTTAATATTGAGAATTTTTGTTGGATTTTCTTCATTGAATTTATCAATTTCACTCATTGTTACTTTAAAATAATAAACTAAATATAATGAAATTACGGTATACGAGAATGATATGTATTATATTAGTTACACCGGTGTTATATTCTCATTCAAAATAATGTATTTCCTGATTTGTTAATCATTGACATACAAAATTTACAATAAGATTCATTGAGAAATGTTTTCAATAACATAAATAGAATACGTGCCACGCTTTCAAAAAAAAGAGTCTAATTTCTGAACTTTCTTGTCGTGTTGATATAGTTATCTTGGATTGCTATATTTGTTTTGTTTTAATTAGCGGTTTAATTTTATTTTTTAAAAACAAGAAATAATAAACGACTTCCTTGGCGAGAAAAAAAATGAATTTAACATACTATATATTCTCGAAGCACATAATGTCAAGTACAATGATTAATTACTATATCAGATACTACTGTCCCCAGTTCAAAAAATTTATGATAACACTATGTCCGCTATCACCAGCATCTGCCACATACCGATAGACGAAGTAGAGTAAAACTGGGGGTCTAGCTTAATGCTATTTTTCTCGGATTTTTACTCTATTAATTCTAACATAACTAAAATAATTCCTAAATAATAAATAAAGTCTATATTTGTTTACTAAATACAATACATAAAAGGCAGTCCGCGTAACAAAAAATTTACAAATTAAATTTTGAAATTTTATTAAATGATCACAAGTCCGCAGTAGTCAAAGTAACATCCGAAATTATTTCTATGTTAGGTACTTAGGTAGTGCTAGACCTATTCCTTATACAAATGGAAAAAAATTGATCATCATAAAATAGTATAAAGAGTGTTTGTACTCCAAACTTAAATTTTTACTGCATTTCCTGCATTTCTTGCTTATTTTTATTAATTAAATTTATAAACTAAAAACAATGTCTTCAAAATTTTGGACAGAATTATCTAACGATTATGAAAAACTTTTTGAGACAGAAATTGGATATGACGTTATTATTTATGCTGGTGAAGAGCTTGATGTTAAGGAAATTCATGCTCACTCAAATATTTTATCTATTAGGTCTCAATACTTTCGCTCCACATTTTCTAATGAATGGACTGAGAAAAAAGATGGAAAATTTATTCTCAAAAAACCAAATATTTCTCCACAACTATTTAATATTATTCTTAGGTATTTTATAATGTTATAATAAATTTTAACATTATGTTATAAAGGGAAAGTCTAATTAATATTATATTATTGTACATTAGGTTTATTTATTGTGGAAATATTGAATTAAAGAATTTACAAGGTCCTGATGTATTGAAATTGTTAATTGCAGTTGATGAGCTTAATATTCATCCTTTGGTTTCTCATATTCAAGAATTTTTGATTCAACAACAAACTGAATTTTTATACCAAAATCCAACTGGAATTCTTGAAACTGTTTACCAACATGAATCATTTACAGATTTATGGAATTTCTGTCTTGAAAAAATTTGTGAAGAACCTAAAGTTTTATTCAATTCTGATAATTTTATTGATTTAAAAGCTCCTTTATTAGAATTATTATTAAAAAGGGATGATTTAAATATGGATGAAATTGATATTTGGGAAAATTTGTTAAAATGGTGTTTTTCTCAACAAAATATGAAGAATGAACCATTAAAATGGAATAAAGAAGATATTACAAAGATTGAGAGGGCATTGTATAGATTTATTCCTTTAATTAAATTTTATGATATTAAGCCTACAGATTTCTTTTACAAAGTTTATTGTTATAAAGATATCTTACCACAAGATTTAATTCATAATCTTTTAGAATTTTATATAGTACCTAATATGAAACCTAAAGATAATTTGACACATTCAAGAAAACCAAATTTTAAAGATTCAACCTTGATTGGATCAAACCATATTACTATTTTTGCTTCATGGATTGATAAAATGGATTCTTCACATTATAATAGAAAAAAAATTCCTTATGACTTTAAATTATTATACTGCTCAAGTCAAGATGGAAATGATACTAAATCTTTTCATAAAAATTGTGATAATAAAGGAGCCACTATTTTGATCACAAAAATTAAAAATTCTACACAATTAATTGGTGGATATAATCCACTTGATTGGGATAAAAGTGATACTTGGAAAACTACAGCAGATAGTTTTTTATTTAATTTTACAAATGAAAAAGATATTTCTACTGCAAAAAGAAGTTTAGTTAGTGTGCAGAATAGGGCTGTTTTTTGTGGGCCTAATTATGGACCAACCATGGGTAATTTATACTGTCATAATAATAATTGGTTTTATACTAATCATGATAATGGAAATTGTTATCCTAAAATAGGAATCCCAGCAAAATTTGAAGTAGAAGATTATGAAATATTTCAAGTAATTAAAAAATAATAAAAAAAAAAGATTTAAATTTATGGATGAAAAAGAATTTAACAATAACCATTTTTTGTGCACTTAAGCAAGATTCGTGTTTATTAGAGCCTAAATTTAACCCTCATATCAAATAATTCGATAGATTTTTTTTTGTACCAAAATGAATGATCATATCTTGGAATGCATTAGAACAATCATGAAAAATTGGGGGAAATTGTGCGTTTTTATGGATTAGTTAATAACCATAAGTCCAAATTTAATGAAAAAGTCTCAGATAAATTTATATATATGTTAGATACCCTATAAAAAAAAATTTCTTTAAAATGTACTTAAAATATACTTATATATTTTTAAAATATATCTAAAATATACTTAACATTTTAAAATATACTTAAAATATACTTAAAATTGCGATTTTAAGTATATTTAAAGTGTAAAATTTTGTACTTAAATTATACTTAAATTATATTTAAATTGCAATTAAGTATATTTTAAATATAATTTAAGTATAAAATTTCATACTTTAAATATACTTAAAATTGCAATTTTAAGTATATTTTAAGTACATTTAAAAATTTTAAGTACATTTTAGATATATTTTAAAATATATAAGTACATTTTAAGTATATTTTAAAGAATTTTTTTTTTCATAGGGATATAGCGAAGCCAACATTTTTTAGAATTTTTTTTTGACTGAAAAGGAAATAACTTCCCATTTTTGTTTACCTTTTTCTCTTTTTGTAAAAAACGTTTTTTTTTTTTCGTTGAAAAAAAAAAAATTATAGAAATAAAAAATGAAACACCTTTCCATTTTTGATTTGCATCTTTCACTTTTCATAAAAAAACATTTTTTTCGTTGAAAAATCTAAAAAAAAAGTTTTACAAAAATAAAAAAGGAAACACCTTTCCATTGTTGATTTATCTTTTTCTCTTTTCGTAAAAAAGACTTTTTTTTATAAAAATAAGAATGGAAATGACTTTCCATTTTTGATTTACCTTTTTCTCTTTTGTAAAGACATTTTTTTTGTTAAAAAAAAAATCAAAAAAAAATTTTTTCTCTTTCGTAAAAACATTTTTTTATTTTTTTTTTATATATAAATAGGAGATGCGGGAAAAACTAGGATAAGATAATATAACATTCCGAGTTTTTACAAGAAAATAATTTTTAAATTAATCCTTTCAATATCTTTGAAGTTAGTATCAAATATCAAAATCATGGACTTACTACAAAAAATTTCATCTTATACAGTTTTTTTTCGTTCTTTTTTTTTCCATAATATGATACAAAAAATGTCATTAAAATAAAATAAAATAAAAAATAACAATCTTTCGTTGAAACTTCTTCGCCGTGTAATTTCATTTTTTTATTCTCGATTTTTTTCACAATATATATATAAATCAAATTGTGATTTGTGAAGCCAAAATCCATTCTAAACCTTTTATATGATTACATAATAATAAACGTAATAAACGCAAAATATACCAAAATTAATTAAGGAATACAGTATTCCGAAAAAAAATAAAAAAAAATATTATTATTATTCCATACATGAAGGAATTATATTGTAATTTTATGATTTTTTTAAATTATAATCTTAAATATACGTGTAATATGTGTAATATGAAA